TCGCGCAGAGCTGCCACATCAAAACGAAAATCATATATTGTAGACTTCACTATGGCGGTGCATTACAACAGATATCCGGAAAAAGGTTATTGAGCCTGCAAGCTCTTTGTCAGGGAATCGCTTTAAATCCCCTTCCTGCTAGTATTAGAGACAAAATAAGAAAAAAATATTGCCAGAAAATTTTGAAATGTCACTGAGGGCTTCATGTTCAAAGTCCCCTAAAAATTACATCTTTATGTTCTCCTGAATAATACTTCATCTTCCTGATGTTTTTTTCTAGGGATGAGCGATAATTAAGAAATAATCGATTATTTTTTCACTTCCTTTTAATAATGCATTAGATTAAAATCATTATTTTTTAGGTTATAAATGAGATCAAAACAAACGAAAACAAAAGTTGAGTTATTAAACAAGTTTGATGATAATTCCTCTAATGATGTGTGTGTAACAGCTATTTTTATATATTGGGTATTTTGAAAATTAATATTTGAATTAAAATAACCGAACTAAATTATCCATACAATTAATATGTGTGAAAATATTAATGTCTTTATTAATAGATTTCAATTTTACGATTAACCGTATTAAATAATATATTTCTATAATCGAGATTAAATCGCACATTCCCTAGTATTTACCGAGTTTCAGCTCAGAAGCTTCTAATTTGACAGACTTACACGACAAACATCCCGATTGTCGGGTACAATATTGCGTGAATCTCTCCGCCTTAACCATCGTTGGAACAGCACTAATAGACATAGATTCTGACGTGTGTGCGAAGTTACAGCTCTAAAAAACCGTATTTACAAACGAAAAGTCGTTTAGATCGTGTTGTTGAGGCGATTTTATTACTTTTTCTTTCCATATTATAATATATAGAGAGAAAGTAAAAACAAATACAGAGACGTAATTTTCTAAGAAATGTCAATGTATTTTGTTATAAATTATTTAGCGATTGTTGACTAGTTATAAAAACCTATTTTTACCCTTCAACATTAACATATTATAAATGTTAGTATTGTTCTATAGAATTTTGGGATAAAGAACACTTCTAAAGAATTTTGGGAAAATATACTTCTAATAAAATGTAATTCAAGTATGGTCCTAGTAGTGGCTGGCATGAGTGGGTCAGTTCTTCGAATCTATAGATGATATTATGGATATACCCAAAAAACATTATTTTATATTATACGACGCAAATTGCTTTTCTTACAATATCTGTTGCTGTCCCAGTATCTGTTGCTGTGTGACGATGAGAAAGATCACTTCTCAGGTAGAAAAGACCAGAATACAGCGTTGGGATGGCTCTGTGCTAACCACACGTACCCATTAACTTCGGGCCGCAAAGTCGCTGGTAGGCCTTAGTTCGTAAAGAACTGTAGTGCCAAAGTACATACATACGACACAAATGAAAGCAGTGAAATGAGCTTTTTCAAGTAACCGCTGCACGGAAACTCTTTTCTACAACTGTAAGCACCTCGAGAACCAAGACATTTTACTTCGCGCGCATATAGAATACATTTCTGCAAAGTATAGTTATTGCGTACCATTTTCAGCGCCATGTAGAGCCGAAAATTGCATACCGTGAAGTATTTTTCGATCAGCTGATCATTGACTAATCATTGTAAATAAATTAAAGTTTCACAATTAAAAGTTATAAATTTATTTAAATGCCGTTGAAGATACATTACTTGCATTTGTTCCCGGTGTTAATTTAAACATTTACTGCTTATCCGACTTGAGGCTTGCATTATACCTTACCCGTTGTGGGCTATTTATTCTCTGAGAACACTAAGTAATATTCCATCAATACCTTTTGATAATGTGCATGCTTATTTTTTACCGTTGTGGTTCTTTTTTGCCAGTCTTTTCATCTTATTCTTGTACGACTGATCCCTGCCCCGAGACCGCCATTCAATCGTTGGAGCTCTCCGATTGGTTGTTTTCTACTAATTACGTCAATTAATCGTGTCTACCATTTAACCTATTCCTTTTTGGTGTAAATTCTCCATTGGCTTCGATTTCGCTGGCTTTAGAGTACGCCAGTTGCAATTGTTGTGGTGTAGCCCGCATGAAGGTGTTGCTGTGTTGAAGATCGCGTTCCCACGAATCTCGAGGGGCGTCGTGGCAGGTGGTGCGAGTTGGCTGGCGGCGTTCGTTCGGCCCGTGGCAACGAAGATTTTCAGGCCCCGAACGCCGGGGGAATCCCGCGCGTTGGACGCAGGTCCGTGGGAACGCGGACGCGCTGGCGCCCGCCCACGCCGCGTGTGGCCGAGCGCTCGACAGTCCGCCGACTTTATCGGGGAACCCTACTTGCACTAGTGATGCGACGTCGATGTTAGCAAACGTCGATGTTTAAAATATATCGACTAAAAACCGTCGATGTTATTCAACATCAATATTTTTAGACTGGATTGGTAAACTCCTAGCATTAAATCCGTGCGCCTTAAAATTTAATTTGGCAATGTTCGCCTTTATTAATTTCCCGAATAAGGGTACGAGAAGAACGGGCAGACACTGCGCCCACAGCATATTTGTTGACCATATCTCAAAGTTGCGAAATTAATATGAAGAAAGAGGAAGTATAAGGGCATAAGGGTCATCTCGGGCGAGAGAGTTTGGTCTATGAAAGTAATGCAGATAGCGTTCCTTTGGTTCCAAAACATGAATCTAAATGTTACCATAAGTTATTATTGCATATTTTAACTTTTACAGTATTGTAATCATGGGAATTTTTCATTCAGAAACATAGCATCGGAAAAGAAAAAACATTGATCACAAAAAATCATCGGTGTTTATACATCGATGTTTAAAAAAATTGATTTTTCTACAAAAAAATTCGATGTTGTGTCCCTAATCTGCACCACGTATCGCTCCCGGTTAGATTCAGTCAACACGTGTGATTTGGACCAGTTCGGATACACACCGGCTCGAGAGGAACACACACAAAGAACAGCTTGGAATTTGTTTTCTCGAACATTATTTGGAGATGAATGATATAATAAATGCGTTGCGAGATGCTGTTAAATTAGAACTAATACTGTAATGCACTCTATTAGAAACATTTGTAACTCGCTGAACGATAATGTAAAATCAACGAAAAATCGGAAATGTGTTCAATGACATATTGATAAGCGCTTCAGTATATGGGTTGGAAAGAAATATACTTAGCTAAAACAAATATTCGTCAGTCTCTTACTGTATATTTTCAATGTTTGTGCTGTCTTGAGAGCGTTCGATTGTATTGGATTCTGATGCGAAACGGCGTGCGTGACAAGTGAAACGGTTGTTAGGTGTTCTGGGTTCTAATGACGTCTCGTACCATGCTCAGCGCAGACTTCATTACTAGGTTCGATGGCCGGTGGCCTCTTTCTGGAAAATTGGGGAAAATCGGAGAATTTAATTTCTCTGTTGATGAATCAGTTGAAATAAGAAAAATTTTGAGATTGCTATAAAACTAGATATTATTCCTAAAACATAGTACAGCATTATTTTTTGTTCAATTTCTATTGTTGAAATTTTTAAATTTGTACTTCATCACGACGAAATCAGAGAGCTGACAAATTAGTCTCGAGGTTGCTTAAATATTTTCTTTAAATACGAATGTGAAATATTTTATAAATCTTATTAGTGAAACATTTAAAAATGCCCTGGAAAACCGAGTAAAGTCAATAAAATTGTTTTCGGGAAGGGAGTGGCCACCCTGTAATAGTTCTCGATGTTAAATTGTATGAGCTTCAGCGCTTTTTGCTGAGTCCAGAGTAAATATTTTCATCCGGATTACGTGAAGAAAGAAGTGACTGCGTAAATTGCTGGGAGTCGTTTGTCCATTTTCGATTCCAAGACAGTACGCGTAGGATCAAACGACCATTTTCTGTTCAGGAAACGGACGACAAAAGAAGCCCGTGTAAAGCAGGCTTATGAGGGTTCTATTATGATGAGCTGCGGCGGCAGGTCTCGGCAGTCACGCTGACCGCCTTGGGGTGCCCCGCGTGTGCGAGGCCGGGGGCGGAGCGGGGCGTTCCGTCGAGCTGTCGATCCAGTCGAGCTGTTTTTTTCTTTTACTTGTTCTTCGTGACGCGAACGTTGACTATTTCGAGGCTTGAGGGATCCTTTTGGAGACTTGAGGGAAATTATTACAAGTAGTGAAATGATCCTAATGCATTGTATTTAGATATCAAACTCCTTCATATAAATGGCTTATTGGAGTGGTTTTCGCCGTAAGTAAAATGATCATCAAAACAGATTGTTTTTTAAACAATGAAATTTATTTCCGAAAACGTGTTACTCTAATAAGTTTAGCTATTTTTTATTGTTCTGCGATATAACATTTCACAGTAATTCTGGCATGAAAAGAAAAAAATGCTAGAATAGCTCCTAGTTTTACTTTTGACAGTCTTTATGGGTTTGCAATTTGTTAGGTGCAAATGGTAGCGTACAATCGTGGATTTTGGGCACACCTGTTTAACTCCACATATTTAATGAATTTGTAGAAAAAAATGCCTGGGAAATCATGGGTTACACTGATTCATAGTTTTAGTATGTAAATCGCTTGGCTGAAGACCGGAGAATCTTCTGCAACTTGGATATACGTGTGCGAATTTATAGGTGGCATGATGTACCCCAAATGCTTAATTTCAAACTTTAAGGAATTTCGCAAGAATGAATTTTGTGATCAATATAAGACCAGCATTTCAGAGTCCTGTCACGTGTAAAACATGTTGGAAATTTTATCATGGGTCCAGCTAGTAGTCGTGTATTTTCCATTAATTGGAATGCATAAACACAAATGTTGGATTAGCCCCTGCAATTAAGGGGTCTTCGATTTGAAAAAATGCAATGTTTTTATATTATCATAATTTTTCAGCATAATAATTTTTGTTTATTTCTGCAGTCTCTTAATTATGAAAGTCTCTCCCTTCCTTCTAGGCCTCGTTAATTGTTTCAGTTCTCTTTTTTTATTTCTGAATTTGTTTTTTATAAATTACCTTTTCTTTCAGGAGGAGGGGATATAGTGAATGCTCGTGACCGTCTTAAGGGAGCCCTGCAAGAAATCCTGGACCAAAGTGATGATTCATCTACATCTAGTACTGATGAACTTCTAGTAAATGAAGCTATTGCCCGACAACAGGCACTTAAAAAGTAAGTCGACTTTTCCATTTTTTCTAGAGTAGTTAATTAAAAATTTCTCCCGGTTTTTATCTGTTTTCAAATTGCAGGGAAGCACTGCTTCAAAACAATCAAAATATAAGAAATCTACGACAACAACAGAGACGACGTAGACGCCGAGAATTGCTAGCAGAAAGTGCTTTTCATCATACTTATGTTATGAAATTATTTGATCGAAGTGTTGATTTGGCCCAGTTTAAAGAAGACACGCCCCTTTATCCTGTTTGTCGAGCGTGGATGGCCAATCAACCTCACAATACAAATTTAGTTCCGAAGTAAGTTTAGTTTTTCTATGTAAGTAACAAGTGAGGAAACATGGAAACTCTTCTATTACGAACCGTAATCAGTGATTGAATTACCAGCTATTTTTAAAGTAGTGAATTAATATAAGAATATAAAAAATTATGTGATCAAGAAATGATATTTGTAATTGTGTAATGCAGATTGCGTACTCCAACACCAGAACCGCCACCTGATGAATCAAATCCACTACTAGAGGGGACCAGTGGTTCAGGTGATGATGCAGATTTAGTGCGAGACACCTATAAAATGCCTCCACCTTTGCCGTTACCAGATGGTGAATTGGAAAGGAAAAGATTGAGAATTCCTTCTCCAATTCTTCGTGAACATGAAGAGATTGAACTTGATTATGTAAGTATTTCATAGGGGTTTTATTTTCTCTTGCGTTATATTCGTTGTATCTTCTTGGTATCCTTTAATTACATAATGATACGCCCTTTTCATGGTTTAATGCTTTTGCGGATGTGTCTTTACCGCGTGTGTTGCAAATTTTATCATTGAAAAATTTCTGTTCAAACTATCATATTTTCTGTTTTCATTTGTCCGTGCTTGTTTGTCTTTTCATTTGTTTGTGAATCTCAAAAGTGGAATGCAAAATAGTTATGCAGTTTCTACAGGAGTAAGAAAATGGCGTTTAAGCGCTACTGTAAATGCGATACTTGAACCTCTTATCACAGACATTTTTTGAGTTTTCGAAAAACTTCATATGACGTCATTTCAAGCATTTCCATTCACAAATGCAATAGTGTTTACAAATTGCTTGAAATGTGCATATTAACGGCATGAGAGATCTTTCAAAAAAATTATATTTGTGTAATTTTTATAAAACCAAAATAATACCCCCAAATGAACTTTGTCATATTAAAGAGTGCAATTAGCATTCGTAAAGGTTAAAGAAAAAAATTGAAGCCTTTTTGAGAAAATGGCGTTTGAGGTTTCTGAAAATGCGGAATTTTGAGCTAGTTTTCACAGAAAATGGTTGACCTTTGAGAAACCTAATATGACGTACGTATTACGTCGTGACGTACGTACGTATTAAAGTACATGCACTCATAAATATAATAATGTAAACAAATCGTCGCTAACGTAAACATGAACGAAGTGAGAGACAAGTAAAAGAAATAGATTTTTGTAATTTTTGAAAAAACAAAATAACAGAGCAAACTAATGTTTATGTCATCTCGTAGAGTGCAGTTAGAAATATCTCTAACAAAAGTTAAAAGAATTTTTTAGCGGCTTTCCTGAAAATATTGCTTTTTAATTTTTTTAAATACCCTCAGAAACTAAAGAATGATTATCAGAATTGCGGAGCATCGACTCAGGCCAAATGGACCGGGGTTTCTTCAATTGGGAAAAAATCCTACGCATAGTTTCGGCGCTAGTGTTTTTCACATACTCCAGACGGAGACAGACAGACAGGCGGACGTTTTGAAAAAAACACGTTTTCAGTGTCAAGGAACCCCAAAATGTGTATTTCCGTTCAAATCTCGATATCCATTTTCAGCAGCATTACGTATTTTTTCCTATATACGTATGTATACGGGAAAGTAAAAGTACATATACCTGTATTATTATTATTGTTATTGTTATTATTATTATTAATTTTATTTGCGTTTTGGCCATTTTTGACCATGCTACGTGTTCTCCTCCATGACCCAGTTGTATTCTATCCTGGAGAGAGATTAACGTGTGTCATTACAGGGATCAGCTTTACGTCTGTATCCCTTGGTAAGACAAGGTTGTTAAGCCTTGAATTACGAATTATCGGGTGATAAAATGCTGATGAGGGGTGAAGGGATAATCACAAATACGACTAGCCATGCCTACGCACCTACAGCCTCCTCGGCGCAATTAGGAATGCTAACAATCTAGTCAACTATCAAGAGTATCATGACTGTAAATGTAAGCTTCCGGGACCGGAGTTCGAGTCTTCTGTGCGGGTGACGCCGCATCGTTGACTGAGAAGGCGGTGACAACGCAGCTCAGTGCTGCACGTCCGTTGATATATACTGTCCGGCCTGGTCGCTCGGGTGGTGCAGGAGCGCCGTAATTGGCGGTGGTATCGGCGGGCGGTCTGGGCCAACCGTGTGTGTCTCTGCCCTGAGGAAGCCTGCGACTGCCGCTATCTGGAGGAGAATGTTAGCGGCAGACTGCCTTGATTGGAAGTTTTCCGTGATTCCGATTAAATACTGCGCGGACGCGGAAGCAGTAGCTTCAAACGGGCTGTGCACGATCTTTCCTCACTCTTCGTTGTCTGATTCTCCTCATTCCCACGCACATGCACTATTCTATCTCATATGTTGGAAGATCAATTGGGATCTTAGAGCTCGAACAGGCAAGCCAGTACCCCGTTGGGAGAGATACCTGGAAGAGGAATTCCTCCGGAGAGTACCATATGATGTGCGAGTGGCACCATCACCTCCCGGAATACAAAAAAAAATCGCTACACTAACGGAAATAACCATAGCAGTTGACGTGCCCGGAAATAATCTATCAATTTAGTGTATGATGATACTAAGTGAACTGCATCCGGAAGGGAATGAGTTAATAGAGTGTTATGCAATTAGTTTATAAAGTTATGCTTCATTACCTAAATGTTTTGAAAACAAGTGGCTTTAGGAGCGAGTTTTCACATTTGTACTAATGCCATAAAACAACTTTAATAACGAGTTGCACGCGCTATATTTTTTGTATTACAGCATTACAAATGTATAAAAGAACCTAAATGAATTACAAAAGCAGTTTTGCAATGGCAAAAATAGTTGGTATTCTGAAGACACAGGAGAGGACAGCCAAGGCAATGAGCTCGAGCCTGAGAACAGGCGGGGAGGTTGAGCTGTGCCGTAAAATGCTAATTTATGAACGATATATCAATACGGAAAAGTCGTTTATAATATTGCTATACAAAAATAGTGCATAATGCAACTAGTATGGTATTTTTTATTGCATAAGTGTAGGTTTTTGAAAACGAGCTATGTTTGGGGCTAGTGTGAAGATATGTGCGAATGTAACTATAAATTAGTTCCTAACGCTAGTTTTCTTATAATTGCATTATAAATGCATAAAAGAACCAAAACGAATTTTGGGAACAAATTTCAAAAGCAGTTGGCAACATAGTGTGTACGCAGGGAGTACGGGAAGGAAGGTTGGGAGGGGAGGACGAGCTGTGCCTTCAAATGTTGTGTAGGCCATAAAATATTATTTTATGAAAGATTTCTTGGAACGGAAAAAGTCGTTATTAAGCTGATATACTAATAGAGAAAGAATTTCTGATAATGTACAGGTCTGAGTTGATTTTCATTTAAAACATCGCATTTTAAGCATTGCATTAATGTTTATTGGTCCCATTGTTATATTTTGTGTAAAAATTTAAAAAATTGACAGGAAAATTGTTGTATTGATTATTGTGAATAAGTCACTTAAAGTGCAAGTAAGGTTGAAGTATACTTACATTTCCAGATAATCTAATTTAAAATTATATGTTCATATTCAGGAAGTCAAACCTCCTGTACCTCGAGATACCCTCCTTAGAGACCATATAATGCACTGGACTGCTGTTCGGAAGAAGTGGCATGAAACTACCAAAACAAATGCAGCTCGCTATGAACCAAGTGCTCGCATTTTAAAAGCCATCTACAAAAAGTAGGTTGTGTGGTGACACATCAGAGGTGGGTGTGGATAACAATGTACCTATTAACACTTTTGTTTTTGTTTCAGAGCTCAAAAGGCTTTTGAATAAAAATGAAGAATTCTACAATGCAAAAAAACAAATTTAGTTCATATTTCATTTACCATATTTGTGTTGTTTGTAAGAAAATTTTTATTTTCTGTATGTGAGTTGTTTCTGCTTAGAATTTTTATAGAAAAATCAAGTATTGAAACTTAAGAACAGTTCTTGGAAATGAGTAGAGAATAAGTTGTAAGAAATACTTGTGTAAGAAATTGATTTTTCTTTTTGGTATATCATTCTGTTGAACAAAATTGTTATGTAATGTGTAGAAAGCTGTGATTGAACATTAAAATATTCATACAAATATCGACTTGAAAAACAATTTATGAAAGTGTCTGTGTATGTATTATAAGTTTTATACACATGTACTATGTATTAAACTATGAAAAAGCCTAACGTTTATGTGTTATTATTTTTTTAATGAGGGTATAAGAAGTCATACATTACCTCCAATGCTAAGAGTAGTTTTAATAATAATGTAGATGCTCACAACTTTTGTACTCCACTTATTTTGTGAAGATTTAAGGAAGAATGAAGAAAATATTTTTTATTTTTATTTTGTAATTTTTTGTATTAAAACGTTTAGTCATGTTCACTCAATTTCAGACATATTTTTACTTCATTAGTGCGTATACCACAAATTGCGAATTTAAAAACTCATTGGTATTTAAACATACACTTCAATGGTGTGGATGTATCTCTTACTTTTAGAGCATTTTTCGCTCTGAATTCTAATAATTATGGAGTTATCAAAACACGTTTTTACATTGGTGTAATATAAACTAGATGAGACCCAAACATTGAACAAATGAACGTGAGATACATCGGTACCAATTTTTTAAATTAAATTTTGTATTTGGATAGAGTAATGGGTGCTTAAGAGAATGGTACAGGTCTCGTGTTCGTTAAAATCTCCAATTTTTCGAAAATTGCAAAAGTTCAAAATTTATTTGGCGTCTTCGTACAACTAGAATAATAATTTTTTATAATGAAATGTGTTCATGAAAAAATCTTCAGATATGGTCATGTTCAATTTTTCGAAAATTTGAGTATTTGTTGGCGTGAAACGTCACTTTTTAAATTTTAAACAATTCTTTTCTCAGAAACTCACTTCAAATGTTTACTTCGTGTGTCGCTAAGAGCTGTAAAGATGGTAGTAATGGTCCGATTTTCGACTTGCTCTCTGTATTTTCGAAAATTGGAAAGAAAAAAATCGGAATTGTAAATTCGAATTTCCCGTGTTTCGTATGAAGCTGTTTTGCAACATACAATGATATTAATAATTGTAAAATTATTATAATGTGGTTTAAGGGGGATTATAATGTTAATTATCTTACTTAATATTAGTTCATTTACTTTTTCATATCATTTTAACTCTTTGAAAAACAAACGTACGAAGTTGATACGGTTTTTCAAGGTGAGTTGGTAGAAAAAATGAAACATTATTTACAGATCAAAGTTGATTCTGCAATTTACGAAATACATGCGGGTGAGTGAAGCCGTGTTTTCATTAATGTAATTAATATATTGTTAATAATATATACGAAGAAATACCATCGCAGTCACTCTGTGAATGTAATTTGAGATGTGCTTGAAGGCAGTCAATCGAATCTTGTGAAGAAAGATTACATTTAATATTAATTAAGCATAAATATATTTTGAATTCCGTTGTTTGAGTTAAATGTAAATAAAAACGGGTCATTTCGCTTGCATAGTAAGGTTTTGAATGAGTAATTGGTGTAAACCGAGTAGTTTTGATGAATATGATATATTTAAATTTTTTAACCATTTAAATTTAGTTTTCTTTTCGATATTTATATTACCAAGTACGCGGCATTCTCGCTAGGGATGTTTCTGTACTTCTTCTGAAAAAGATCAGTGATTGAATCGCCCTGGTGATGGAGCAAGTCGTGCGACGACGGTCGCCACCGGCTACCTCAGAGAAAACGGAGGCGACGGACCGAAGAAAGTCAGACTGCACCGCAAAGAAGTCGAGGGCTTCTCTGCATCTTCAACACGCCCAGTACCTCTCTCCAGGGGGTTCCAGAGCGCTGTTAAAAGGGCACATTAAATATATTTACTTATTCAGAAAATGAGTGTGAGTTAATAATACATTTCGTAGTTTTCGAAAGGACAATGTCAGTTCTTTTTAAATCTATATGCAATACAATAAAATTTAAATATGTTAAAATAGTTTGGGTTATACTTTTCAATTTACTCCCACTATGAGGTACAGGGTAAGATAGAGCAGGGGCGACAAACCTTTGAGTACAAGTATGTCGGAATGAGGGCCTCGTGGCCACCTCTTCGGAGGTTGTGATTATTTTTCAGCTGAAGCAGTTCAGTAATGAAATCACCCAGGATGTACTGAGCGTCGAGGAAGCCGTGTCGCTTGTGCTGACCGCCTCCGCGAGACGGTCGACGAGGACGACGTGCTTTTTGCATAACATCTATACTCCTTCTACCACACCGTGTTATCCCTCCTCCTTCCTTTTACATATTTACTAGATGAACGAAAAATAATTTCACGGCAGATTCTTAAAATTTTCAACTTAGAGGAAAACGGATAAAAGAAATCGTGGAGGATCTCAGATAAGCACTCGTAACAATAAATGGCGCAAAAGAAAGAGCAGAATTCAGGAACACTATCCAAATATATGCATTTGACACCTCAACACAGAAGTGGACAGCTGAACGAAAGAAACAACACAGTGTGCACATGAAGAAAATTTGGACAGGGAGTAAAAAAAATCATCATAAAGGAATTCAAGTTCAAACGCTCTCTTTAAATGTGAATAATAGTAACTAGCGTAGCGTACCATTTCCTGATAATTTCCATTAAGAAGGAAAGTTCTTAATGAAACCCGTTTATTTGTTTAAAAATGTATAAATGTTCATACTTACAAAAAGAAAAAAACAATGCAATTGATGATGGAAACAAAAATTTCAATAAATGTTTATTCAGTATTTTATACAGTAGGTATGTTCTTCGAACAATTCACATTTCCTTAAAAACATTTGAAGTAATTATACAATCTTCCTTGACAGTTAGCGTTTCGCTTTCCTTGATAGTCACAAAACTATTAGAAACGGTTTTTACTCTTGAGGAAGCCAAGTAACGTTTTTCATGCAAAAATACAGGATCGGGCAAGTACAACCGTACTCTTTGCAATATTATTTTACTTTCCTGGATTTGTCATGAGGAACAGAGGCGATTTTAGGCGGTAGTGCGCCAGCTTGCTGAGTTGCGAAAATTGACAAATTATTTATGTACAAATAAATATTAAAATATTTTCTGCTTTCTTACATACCTCAAAAGCAATTCCGAGCCAAAAAACAAAACTAATATTTTCACCTTTGAGTAATAAATACAATTTGTTACCATTAGAAATAATTCAATAATCTTAGACTTCACTTCCGTACGTGGGAATGTTGCTCATACAATGTTTACGTATTGAATATCTAAACGAAGCGACAACGTAAATTTAATAACAAACTGTGTATTATTTACAATATGAGTTACCAGCTAGCGTTGATGTACAGACTTCCAGATACCGCCAACAATTAAATCGTGCTTCTGGATTGTGATCGTTGGCAGTTGTCGAATGACTTGCACAATACTTTCTATAATTTTATATTTGGTTTCTTTTTTAAATTCATTCTGGTAGTATTGTAGGCTAGCGCGTTTTGATTTTTGTTGTTCCTTTCTTTCAAGCTATTGTACTTTGGTTAATTTAAAAAGATTGTTCTTTGTGTCATTACATGGCACAAGTTTTCCAGATTATATTCCACTATTATAATAAGTGTAAAAGCCGTGTACTACCGGAGTGTCCGATGTGGTAATTGGTGTTATATAACGAGCTCAGTCTCTCTCTCTCTTTCTTCTCTCCCTCTCAAAACATTTTTTTTTTATTTCCTTAAAATCAGGGTTTTAAGAGACCTGTACCGTTCTCTTAAACGTCCCTCAGACCATCCGCCACCAAAATTTCATCTAAAACGACAATGCCGTTTTTGAGGAAAGAAATGTTTATGCAAAATTAAAAATTGCCTGTATTTCGTACAACATTAAGCGAAAAATAATCACATTTTCGAAAAATTGTACAGTACCTTATTTTAAAATCTAGCTTTATGGAATAGGTTTTATTAAATATATTATCTATAAAATATCTATATTTAATATTTTAGTCGTAGGAAGACGCCGAAAAATATTTTGAAATTTTTCAATTTTCGAAAAATGAAAGTTTTAAACCAACATGAGACCTGCGTGATTCTCTTAAACGCTCTTCAGACTATCAAAAAAATCGATGGCGACTTTTTTTAAATGTCCCAGGGGCTTCATGTTAATCCGTCAAAATTAAAATATGGGTTTCAAATTCAAGGAGCCGCGACTTCAATAAAATTGACTGGGAAATATCAGTTTTGGAGAAAATCGGATGAACGGTTTAGCCGCTAGCGTTGTTCACAGACGGACAGGCGTTTTGCCGTCGATCGATTTTTCAGTATCAAGGATCCATAAAACATGGACTCTGGCTACACCACGTATTAGAGGATTTTCTCCTAAATTTAGCAACTTGATTCATCCAATTTTTCGTTACCAGGACCCTGAAATGAGTTTTTTTGCGCGGCATTACATAACTTTCTCTTCGTAAGCGGGAGAAAGTAAAAATTGTAGAATAGGTGACAGGTTCGCATTACAATGTTTCAGTAATATGACAGATACTCCATCAGGTCAGGAAAACTATTTATCTTTAATTTATCTATGGCATAAACATCAGGTTGCGTAATTTCTACAAAATCAATATCAGTCCGTCTAGAATCGCACTGATACTCACATGGAAGAATATCATCATCAGAATTATATATATAGATTCAAAATACGAAGTAAAAAATTTTCAATGGTTGTGGTGAATCAGTATGGCATTCTTTGTAAAACATAGAGTTTGGAAATCCGGTGATATCCCTTTTTGCATTAGCGTACTTCCAAAAAGGATCTTATGTCATTTATTGAGCATTGAATTTTAGCTAAATATATTGAGTAATCCTCAGATAGTTTAGCTTTACATTTTTTTCGAAGCGCTTAGAAACGAAGGTAGTTCTCTTGATCTTTGATCTCAATGATTCTGAGTACTTCCAGTGTAAATGATCTTTTGATGGAAGCATGCAATTTAATTCAATTGAATACCAAGATGGATGATGACAGCCTTTTGGTAACGTGTGTCCATTTATTTAATACATTTTCTCAAATAAAATTTGAAGTGATTTAAAAATGTCAACTTTGATAAACAGGATGCCAATCGAAGTTTAATATTTCTTCATTAATTGCAAAAAAATCAGCCCCATCAAAAACGTGTTTCTCGAAAATTTTGAGACGGAATTTCATGAGTAATTGGTAA